GAGCACAAGCTGGGTGGCTCCACAGGGAATTTTGTGCATTGGCCCTTTAAGAGAGTGCCTGAATTTTCAGCTGTTACTTCATGGCAGAGAGCACCCTGCTGCTTTTCACAGCTAGATGCTATGTAGCTACCCTCCTCAGTTTTGGTGCTCTTTGCTGGGGGGCCCAGCTTGAGGATTAGATCCCAGAGTTCCCCCACAGCTGAGATATCTCTCCAGGACTTCAGTTGCTGTCTGTGGGTGCTTGGCCAGCCCTTTCCCACCTCCACCCCTCCTACCAGTCTCTGTGTGGTCTCCACTTTCAGTCCTTGGTTATCAGGGTTCTCGCCTGTGAGTTTTCCATTGATTATTCAGGAAGGTTTTCCATATTTTAGTTGTAATTCCAGTTTGTTCCTGGGAGCAAGTTCATGTAGCATCCACTTACTCTGCCACCATTTTTAATCCTCCTACCAGCTATTGAAAGAAGAAAGTATATTAGTTCTTAACAATCTCTTCCAGAAGATAGAGAAGAGGTAATACTTCCTAATTCATTCCATGAAGCTAGTTACAATAATACCAAAACCAGCTAATGAAATTACAGACAAATACCTCTTATGAACATAGATGAAAAAAATCCTCAACAAAATATAGTAAATTAAATCCAATACTCTATAAAAGAATTATATACCACAACCTAATGAACTTATCTCAGGTGTGAAAAGGCTTATTTAATATTTTAAAGTCAATTAACATAACTCATCACATAAACAAGCTAAGAAGAACAATCACATGATACTATCAAGAGATGCAGAAAAATACTAGACAAAATCCAGTACCCATTCATGATAAAAACTCTCAGTAAGCTAGGAATTCAAGGGAACATTCTCAACCTGAGAAAGACTACCTACAAAACAAAACAAAAAACCTGCAGTAACATCATACTAAATGATGAAAAACTTAAAAGTTTTTCTAAAATTTGGTACAAGGCAAGGATGTGTCTTTTTGTTGTTGTTGTTAATCCTCATGCAGATTATATTTTCCATTGATTTTTTTAGAGAGTGTGGAAGAGAGAGTGAAAGACAGAGAGAAACATTGATGTGAGAGAGACATATCGATTGGTTGCCTCCTTTTTGTGCCCTGAGTGTAGTCTCCCCCAACTTGGGCCTACTAGAACTGAGGATGTGATAGAGACTGAAGAGGCTGCAGATATGTGGGTGAGATGGGAGGTCCTGAGACAGAGATAGCCCAGAGGGTGCTGTCTGTGGAGACCACGGAGTGGGTGCAGCAGTGGTAGTCTGGGCTGAAGTCCCTGGATGGAGTAGCACTAGCATCCCACCATCATCCAGCCTGGGAAATTCATCCTGATCTGTGTGAAGGGTCATGCAGTGGAGTTCAGAGTCAGCTTCCAATGGAGTGGTCTGAAAGAATCTGTGGGACCTTTTATTTCTTGGAGGAACTTGTGCCATTGAACAGAAAGGGGACTGGACAATAGGACCAGGAAGGAAGATCAGGCATGCCACCTGGAAAACAGGGGAGTTGCCTACTTTCCTCTTGCAAAACAGCTGTTTCTGACTCACCTTGCAGTGACCTGATGCAAGGGGAAACATCCCAGGGATGGAAATCTGCACCATTGCAGCTGGCAGTTGGGAGGTGCTAGCAAGCTAGGCAGAGCTGAGGCATTGGAGAGAAAGGAAGTACTCGGCCCTCCTCCTACAGGTTATTGAAACCACCCCCAACACGAGTCTGATCAAACGAACCCAGACAAGATCAGGATACCCTCACTAAGCATAGCTCTGTGGAGGAAGGAAGAACAGCTTAGAACAGGGACATTCAAGGTGTGAGACCTGAGGCAGACCCAGTCTCTGGGCTAAGGAGGCCAACCCACTGGATTACTTAGGGCTCCAACCTATTAGGCCTCAGTCAAGTGGCCCAAGGCAAGGAAGGGCTAGTGATACATATTGGCCTGCACCAAAGAAGCTCCTGGGAGGCCCAGGTTAGACACATCAAGGGACAAGATTTGACAACATCAGAGCAAAATCCAGCGAGTTCCACAAATAGCAGATCCAAAGGTTTTTATGTGGGTGTGTGTGATTTCTGTGTGTGTGTGTGTGTGTGTGTGTGTGTGTGTGTGTGTGTGAGAGAGAGAGAGAGAGAGAGAGAGAGAGAGAGAGAGAGAGTTTTGGTTTTTGTTATTTTTCATTGTGGTTTTTTTTCTTTTTTATATTTTATTATTTTTTTATTATTTATTGTTTAAGGCATTACATATGTCTCCTTCCCTGCCCCCCATTGACCTCTCCCCAGCTGTTTCCACCCCCCAGCACATGCCTTCACCCCCCTACTATCTGTGTCCATTGGTTATGCTCATATGCATGCACACAAGTCCTTTGGTTGATCTCTTAGCCTCTCATCCCCTGTCTTTCCTCATAGGTTGGACAGTCTAGTCTGTTTGATGCTTCTATGTCTCTGGTCCTATTTTTGTTCATCACTTTATGTTGTTCATTATATTCCACAAATGAGTGAGATCATGTGATATTTATTTTTCTCTGACTGGCTTATTTTGCTTACCATAATGTTCTCCAGTTCCATTCCTGCTGTTGCATATGGTAAGAATTCCTTCTTTTTTACTGCAGCATAGTATTCCATTGTGTAGATTTACCACAATGTTCTAATCCACTTGTCTGCTGATAGGTACTTAGGCAGTTTCTAGATCTTAGCTATTATAAATTTTGCTGCTATGAACATAGGGGTGCATATATCCTTTCTGACTGGTATTTCTGTTTTCTTGGGATATGTTCCTAGAAGTGGGATTAATGGGTCAAATGGAAGTTTCATTTTTAATTTTTTGAGGAAACTGCTTTACACAGAGGCTTTCCATACTGTTTTTCACAGTGGCTGCACCATTCTGCATTCCCACCAGCAATATAAGAGGGTTCCTTTTTCTCCACATCCTTGCCAGCACTTGTTATTGATTTGTTGATGATAGCCATTCTGACAGTGTGAGATGGTACCTCATTGCAGTTTTGACTTGCATTTCTTGGGTGATTAGTGACGTTGAGCATGTTTTCATAAGTAGGTTATTTTTGAATACTGAAATGCGATAAATCAAGCAGAACAAGGGAAGATGCAGAAGGTTAGTGGAAATAAATGTTGAGAAAGATGATTTTTGTATGAATAATAGAACAGATTATGGGAATATGCTTACACTTTAACCTAGCAAGGACTACTAACTTTATTAATTAAAATAGAAGCTTTAAAAACAAGGCTGTCTATAACTTCTGCTGTCAGGAAATTTTCTGATTAAACTCTTACTGTCTTTCTTGTGTTTGGAATGTTTAGATGGTAATTTTAATTTATAGCATTGTGTTCTTACAGCCTTGTTTCTGCATAAACCTTAAGATTATAGCTTCCAATTGCACAACTAGCAGGAATCAGATTAATAATGAATAGCACTTCAGTGTTTTCAATGGGGAATATATGGGCCATAGTAAATGGGAACAACTCATGGTCAGATTGTAATAATTGAAGAGTTGTATAGGTTGCATGGTAGAGCCATAACCTCTCCATCGGCCCTGCCCCGAGTGTGACAGTGGTGGCGCCCCAACCCCCTGATCGGCCCTGCTCTGTGTGTGACATGGTAGAGCCATAACCTCTCCATCGGCCCTGCCCCGAGTGTGACAGTGGTGGCGCCCCAACCCCCTGATCGGCCCTGCTCTGTGGGTGATAGAGGGTGGCGCCCCAACCCCCCTCCACGGGCCTTGCTCTGTGTGTGACAGGGTAGAGCCATAACCTCCCCATTGGCCCTGCCCTGAGTGTGACAGGGTGCAGTGCCCCAACCCCCTGATCTGCCCTGCTCTGTGTGTGACAGGGGGCGGTGCCCCAACCCCCCAATCGGCCCTACCCTGAGCGTGACTGAGGGTGGCATTGCAACCTCCCGATCCGCCCTGCTCTGTGCATGACGGGGCGGCGCCCCAACTCCCCAATCGGCCCTGCTCTGAGCCTGACCAGGGGCTGCACTTAGGGATTGGGCCTGCCCTCTGCCACCCGGGAGCAGGCCTAAGCCAGCAGGTCATTATCTCCCAAGGGGTCCCAGACTGTGAGAGGGCACAGGCCGGGCTGGGGGACCCCCCTCCCCCAGCCCCCCGAGTGCACAAATTTTTGTGCACCGGGCCTCTAGTATATATATAGTATTACATGTGTCTCCTTTTTTCCCCATTGACCTCTCTACGGCCGCTCCCACCCCTGAGCACATGTCCTCACCCCTCTAGTTACTTCATCCATTGGATATGTGTATATGCCTGCATACAAGTCCTTTGGTAATTCTCTTACTCAACCCACACCCTCCCCTGCATTCCCACTGAGGTTTGAAGGTCTGTTACATGCTTCTATGTCTTTGGCTCTATTGTTGTTCATCAGTTTCTGTTGTTCATTAAATTCCACAAATGAATGAGATGATGTGATATTTATTTCCAATTGGCTTATTTTGCTTGGCATAATGCTCTACATGTCTAACCATGCTGTTGCAAATGACAAGAGTTCTTTCTTTTTTAAAGAAGCATAGTATCCCATTCTATAGATGTACCACCATTTTTTAATCCATTCATCTGCTGATGGGCACTTAGCCTTTTTCCAACTCTTAGCTATTGTAAACTGTGATGCTATGAACATAGGGGTGCTTTTCTGATTGGTGTTTCTGGTTTCTTGGGATATAGTCTTAGAAGTGAGATTACTGGGTCAAATGGCAGTTCCATTTTGAATTTTTTGAGGAAACTCCGTACTGTTTTTCACAGTGGCTGCATCAGTCTGCATTCCCACATGCAGTGCAGGAGGGTTCCTTTCACTCCACATCCTCGCCAGCACTTGTCATTTGTTGATCTGTTGTATGATAGCCATTCTGACAGTTCTGAGATGGTATCTCATTGTGGTTTTGATTTGAATCTCTCTAATGATTAGTGACTTTGAGCATATTTTCATGTCTTTTGGCCTTCTTTATGTTCACTTTCCAAAAGTGTCTATTTAGGACCTCACGCGCGCTGCCACCTGGCTCCGGCTCCTCCTGACCTACAACCCACCGCCACCTCTGCTGCCATCCCAGCCGCTTCGGTCGCACCATGTCTTCGCCTCCCGAGGAGAAGCAAGAGACAAAAGCTGGACACCCGCCCGCTGTGAAAGCTGGTGGAATGCGAATCGTGCAGAAACACCCGCATTCTGGAGACACCAAAGAAGAGAAAGACAAGGATGAGAAGGAGTGGGAGACCGAGCCCAGCCCGCCTAAACCCACCATGTACATCTCCTGTGTCATCGCCCAGAGCGACACGGACTTCCCCCCCGCGGCCGCCCAGGTGGCTCACCAGAAGCCCCACGCCTCTATGGACAAGTACCTGTCCCATAGACCCCAGCACATCCAGCAGCCTCGCAAGTGACCATGAGGACCCAGCGCCCTCCCCTGCCATGCCTGGTTCCCGACATTTGGTTCCCGACATTTGGTATTTCCCTGGCAATGAGAACTGCATTTTCTTTCAAACACTTTTCCAGTGGGAGATCTAAGGCAAAGCAACGCGCCCTTCCTTTGCCTTACATTTCCAAATCAAAGCTAGAAACAGACCCCAAACCTTGTTCCCAGGGAGTCCTGTTTGGTGAGGGGCCATTAGCAGAACCTGCCGAGTTCTGAGCAAAATGAAGTTGCTCAGAGTTTAGCTCTAGAACTATTTCAGCCATTGACTAAAAGTCCTGCCTGTGGTCTTAAAAACAAAGGGGCACAAATGTGGGAGGGTTGGATTGAGATTAGGAGGAAAGCTCAATCGTTTTATGCTTCTGAGTACTAGGACAATCAAATCTGCACACCTAAGGGAGCATAAGAAATGAGGGTGTTCATTACGGGGTGGGTTTCAGAAAGACATCAAAGAAGACTTAAAATGGACCACAGCAACCCTGAATGTCACTCCCTGTGCGACCAGGGGTCCCTGTGCAGGGCGACCCCAGAAGGACCAAAGAAAAGTTTGCATCTCTGAGATGGCTCTGTTATTCCAGGAGTCATCTTGCTGAAAAATTAGAGGGCAGGTAGTTTGCCCAAAGGTAGTACCTCTAGGAGGAGATCTCAGTGTGGGTACCAAGTCCAGCACTGCCCCACCATCAAGGCAGCCTGCCCCAGAGCAATCGAGACAAACTTGTGTTTGTCATCACTCACCTCTAGAGCTGTCTCTGAGTTCTGGAAGTGGCCACTGGCCAGGCAGACGGATAGCCAATTCTGGACACACATAAAGAGCACAGACTGCATGGGGAGAGAAGTGAACGCAGAGAGAAAAGACCGAACCTGCCCTTTGTCTCCCTGGGAACAAGAGACACCACATTCCATTAGAGCTAGAAAAGCCTGTGTGCCAGTGGGCTCAGCTGTCCAGATTCCTTCTGCCTGGGCACGTTTGCTGGGCCCACCTTCACTTGGGCCCATCAGATGGCCCCGATTTCTTTGCGTTTCCTGCCCAGAGCCGCCCTGGGCTGCTCTCTGGCTCGGGGGTGGAGTGCCTGCTTTTCTGAAAAGCCAAAGGTTCCTTCAGATCTTCCTGAGCAGCAGTGGCATTTGCTGCAGGCCAGCAGTGCGCTGTGAGCAGTGTGCCCGCCACCAGCCTTGCGATGCCATTCTCAGTCCAGAGCTGCGATGAGCAGGGGTGAGTCAGACCTAGGCAGATCCATGCCCTCCCCTGAGGGAAAAGCCCTGCCTGGCTTTCTTAAGGCCCTGTCGTTTCCTCCCACTGGCTTGCGGAAGCTGGAGTCTAACCTTCAAGGTACCATGTGATCACATCTGGTATTTCTCTTTTTTTTTCCCTTTAAAATGTCTCTTTATTCATTTTTTTTTATTGCTTAAAGTATTGCAAAGAGTATTACATATGTCTCCTTCTTCCCCGCCCCCTTGACATTCCCCTGGCCTCCCCTACCCCCTAGTGTCTTATGTCCATTGGTTATGCTTATATGCATGCATTCAAGTTCTAGTCCTTCGGTTGATCTCTTACTCCCCTCCCTTCTGCCCCCCAACCCTCTCTGGCCTTCCCACTGCAGTTTGACAATCAGTTTGAGGCAGCTCTGCCTCTGTATCTATTATTGTTCAAAAGTTTGTAATGGTCTTTATTATCCATGAATGAGTGAGATCATGTGGTATTTTTCTTTCATTGACTGGCTTATTTCACTTAGCATAATGCTCTCCAGTTCCATCCATGCTGTTGCAAATGGTAAGAATTCCTTCTTTTTTACAGCAGCATAGTATTCCATTGTGTAGATGTACCACAGTTTTCTAATCCATTCATCTGCTGATGGGCACATCTGGTATTTCTTAATCTGAGAGGTTGGTATACACCAAGGCTGGCTTTGGAGAGGCACACTCTGTGGGCAGCGTGGTCGTGGGGCACACGGAGCAAGCAGCTCCCCACCCCCACCCCACACCCCAGAGTTGGCATCACAGAAGGGCACTGAGAGCAGGCAGTGCAGGTCAGGCCTGTGCAGACCCTTGCACCTTCTGCTACAGAAATGTAGGTGCATTGTTGATACCTGGGTTTGCAGGCAGGAGCCCTGTGCTGTTTCCCAAGGGGCATGTTTATGAACTTGTAGTTGCACCTGGCATGTATCTGTGGCTCGCTGAAAGCATACTGTTTCCTGAATGAGTACCAATTGTTAACTTGAAGAATAATACTGATTATAAAAAGCCCCTGCATTTCTCCTCAAAAAAACAAACAAACAAACAAAAAAACCACAAAAAAACAAAAAACAAAATAATGAATAGTAAGGACCTACAACCAAGATTACTCTACCCAGCAAAGTTATCATTTAGACTTGAGGGTAAGATAAAGAGCTTTACAAACAAGAAAAAGCTAAAGGAGTTTATCAGCACCAAACCGGTATTATATAAAATGTTGAAAGATATTATTATTATTATTATTATTTTAAATATATTTTATTGATTTTTTACAGAGAGGAAGGGAGAGGGATAGAGAGTTAGAAACATCGATGAGAGAGAAACATCGATCAGCTGCCTCCTGCACATTCCCTACTGGGGATGTGCCCGCAACCAAGGTACATGCCCTTGACC